TTCTAGTCAATTAATTTGATTGCTAATGAATCTAAAACTCAATTATGATTGCTGGTGCTTTGGTTAGAAAGTAATGATAGGAAGGACTCCTAGTGACATTACTCCTGTTCTTGTTCTTGTAGGTTGTGAAGCGTGAAATATGTGCAGTTGTTACAAGAGGCACGCTGACAGATGGGGAGATGCTATTAACTAATCCGGATGCATCTTATCTGATGGCGTTGACTGAAGGAGGAGAGAGTTTAACTGACCAGAGAGCAGAGCACAATTTTGGTGTCTGTTTGGTTGATGTTGCGACAAAGAAGATCATTCTGGGGCAGGTGGGTTCATTGAATTGATCGAAAGAAAAGCGATGCATGTTTAGCATATGTAACATTTCTTGTATAATTCCTCTTAGGAACCGTCTCTGTGGATATTTTTGGCTTTTGACATCTATTCTATCTGACGGCATTGTTTTCAACTCCTAACAGTTCAAGGATGATCAAGATTGCAGTGCATTATCTTGCATGCTTTCTGAGATAAGGCCGGTGGAAATCATTAAACCAGCTAATGTGCTTAGTTCTGCAACGGAGAGAACAATAGTTAGACACACCAGAAATCCCTTGATAAATAATCTGGTTCCACTTTCTGAATTTTGGGATGCAGAGAAGACCATACATGAAGTTGAAATTTTCTACAAGCGAATCAGTTGTCAACCGTCCTCTGCGCATGCTGGTGAGGGAAAAATTCTAGGGGATGGATCCTTTTGCAATGAAAGTGGTTCAAGCTTCCTACCAAAAATGTTGTCTGAATTAGCAACTGGAGATAAGAATGGTAGCCTGGCACTCTCTGCTCTTGGTGGTGCCATTTACTACCTGAGAGAAGCTTTCTTAGATGAGAGTCTTCTTAGATTTGCCAAGTTTGAATCCCTGCCGTGCTGCGATTTCAACAACTTTACTGAGAAACAGCACATGGTTCTTGATGCTGCTGCCCTCGAAAACCTTGAGATATTTGAAAACAGCAGAAATGGAGGCTTTTCGGGGTAAGGTTTCTCTATCTTACTAAATTATCAAACGTAATTGATATGTGTTCTAAATCTAAAGTGAGTGTTGTTTTTTTTTTTTTGAAGAACGCTGTATGCACAATTAAATCAATGTGTCACTGCGTCTGGGAAACGGTTACTGAAAACATGGCTGGCAAGACCCCTATATAATCCGGAACTGATTAAGGAACGTCAAGATGCTGTAGCGATTCTGCGGGTGAGTCTTTGAAAGAATTGCTTGGCTTTATATACTGCCGACATGTGCTGTATAGGTTACAAGCAATGGGTTACATTTCTTTGTTTTTCAAATAGACGATAACCGGTCATCTTGATTTCCATTTTTTTTTTTCATTTTCAGTTTTGCACCATTTAACAGATCTCTTCAGAACTACTCTATTTTCCCATTATGGGTGTTCAAGATCTTGTTATGTCACTGTATCTCAATGACACAGATGATGTTTTTCTATGCTTTCAACTAACCATCTATTTCTGGAAATTATTTCCTTAGTATTATGAAGCTTACTCTACATGCAATGTGAAAACTCCCATATTTGCTATCTGTCTGACAACTCTTTGAATTGTGTACCTTCAGGGGGAAAATCTGCCGTACTCGCTCGAATTCCGGAAGGCATTGTCGAGACTTCCAGACATGGAGCGGTTGATTGCACGTATCTATTCTAGCACGTAAGGGATTTGCTGGATTGAGGAAATGTTATATCTTGCATCGCATGTTCATACCAGAGATCTACTAAACATTTTTATTAAAACAATCGTTGATTTACATGTTACAGTGAAGCTAGTGGAAGAAATGGAGATAAAGTGGTTCTATATGAAGATGTGGCAAAGAAGCAGCTACAAGAGTTCATATCAACTCTACGTGGTTGTGAAACAATGGTGGAAGCATGCTCTTCCCTTCGTGTTATTTTGAAGCATGATAAATCTAGGCGGCTGCTTCACTTGCTTACACCTGGTATCATCAATACTCTCCATGTTACATTCTTAGATTGGTAGATCTACAGCATCTTACATGCTTTTTATGTCAGGTCAAAGTCTTCCAAACACCTCATCCTCCATTAAGTATTTCAAGGATGCTTTTGACTGGGTAGAAGCTCACAATTCTGGACGTGTAGTACCTCATCAAGGGGCTGATGAAGAGTATGATTTTACCTGTAAAACGGTTAAAGAACTGGAATCCAATTTGACAAAACATCTGAAGGAGCAACGAAAATTACTCGGAGATGCATCAGTAAGAATTACTTCCATACATGTTTTTGTCTCTTAAATGCCTAATCAACTGAGTGTAATGATCAGAGCTTTGGGGATCTTGTCCAGATAAATTATGTGACAGTTGGCAAAGACGAATACCTCTTGGAAGTTCCTGAAAGTTTAAGTGGGAGTGTTCCTCAAGATTATGAATTATGCTCATCCAAAAAGGTAAACAATCGACCAAGTGTCGCATTTTAAAGAGAATGCCATTCTCATCTTAACAAGTCGGTCTGATGGTTTTAGTTGAGTCCTTCTGTCTCGCATCTCTGATTGTTTCCATATGGTCTTAACCTCACGGATAGGAAGATATATATTCTTCTCGAAATTGCTGATTTCCTTTCTGTTTTACACACCCATCTTTTCAGGGTGTCTTTCGATACTGGACTCCAACCATCAAGAAATTATTAAAAGAGCTATCACAAGCAAAATCTGACAAAGAGTCAGCCCTAAAGACCATCTCGCAAAGGTTAATTGGACGTTTCTGCAAGCATCAAGAAGAATGGAGACAATTGGTTTCTGTAACAGCTGGTATGATAAAGTTTATGTTTTCTAATTTTTGCTTAGATGCCAACTTTGAGTTCTCTTTTCTTTTAAAAAAATTGTCAGCTTCCTCCTCAAGAAAATGATTTTTTTTTCTAAGTCAATACCTGTTAATTACAGTACTGTCAGCCGGGTGTCGAGGCAGTTAGAATCGAGTTACTTTATAAACTGAGTTAGAAGTAAACATGCAGATGAAAAACGAATCTTAGAGCTCCCTGCAATTTGTTGTGTGAATTAAATCCTGCTGCTGCTGACGTATATTTCAGTCATATTTTAGGAAGAGATAACTTTGGTAGGAGATTGTTTAATAGACTTAGGCATGCGAACAAAGTGTGCGCTTAGATCTTTCTGTGGATGCGTTGTTGACATAAATTCATTCTATTGCAGAGCTGGACGTGTTGATCAGCCTAGCTTTTGCAAGTGATTCTTACGAAGGAGTAAGATGCCGTCCGGTAATATCAGGATCAACATCTGATGATGTTCCGCACTTGTCCGCCACTGGTCTAGGGCATCCAGTTCTGAGGGGTGATTCATTAGGCAGAGGCTCTTTTGTACCAAATAATGTAAAGACTGGTGGTTCGAAGCAGGCCAGTTTCATTCTCCTCACAGGCCCTAATATGGGTGGAAAATCAACACTTCTTCGCCAAGTTTGCTTGGCTGTAATATTGGCTCAGGTAACGCTATCATATTTTGAATTTTGAAGGCGATGGACCTTGACTGATATGTCGTCGATGAAAGAGACTCAAGCTATGATTATTCTTTTCATAGATTGGAGCAGATGTCCCAGCAGAGACCTTTGAGCTTTCGCCTGTTGACAGAATCTTTGTCCGGATGGGTGCAAAAGATCATATTATGGCAGGACAAAGCACGTTTTTAACAGAACTTTCAGAAACTGCTGTAATGTTGGTAAGTAATGTTTATCAACTTGATTACATGAAGCTTTCTAAGTTTCGTGTGATACTAACCATAGCTATTATCTTTTTGAGTTTTGTTCACATGCTTTGTTAAACTATGTGAAATGACAACAAAGATTGATAGAAGGTTATAATATCATAATATGCAGTCATCAGCAACCCGAAATTCACTGGTGGTGCTAGATGAGCTTGGACGAGGAACAGCCACATCAGATGGACAAGCCATTGCGTATGTTGAGCCATTACTGTGTATTCTGTTATTGGGACTTATAGTTGTTGTTCTGATTATCTAAAATTATCTTTAATTTCTGACAGGGAATCCGTACTTGAGCACTTCATAAATAAGGTGCAGTGTAGAGGAATGTTCTCTACTCACTATCATCGTCTCTCTATGGATTATCAAACCAATCCAAAGGTACTGTGATAGTGTCTGGTTCAGATTATGATCAATAGCACGTGATACTGCGTTAGAGAGACTTGAGACTATCAAACATCTGATTGTTTTTTGTGAAACTTATTCGAAAAACTGATGGTTGTTGATATTTTGGGATAGGTCTCGCTTTGCCATATGGCATGTCAAGTTGGAGAAGGAATTGGTGGAGTGGAAGAAGTTACATTTCTCTATAGATTGACGCCTGGTGCATGTCCTAAAAGCTATGGAGTTAACGTTGCTCGCTTAGCTGGTAAGAACATTAGATTCGCTACTCCATCGCCTTCAATCTTTTCCTTCTCTTTTCACTTAAACAAAACCTGATATTCTTCACTCTTATCATTTTTTTCAATCTCCATAGGTCTTCCGGATTATGTACTTGAGAGAGCCGTGATTAAATCCCAAGAATTCGAGGCCTTATATGGTAAAAACCGTACAAAAACCGACCGTAACATCGCAGAAATGATAAAGAAGATCTTCGGTAGTGTTGCATTAGATTCTGATTACTCAACTTCAAAGGACTCACTGTCTGAGCTACACTGCATGGCCAACACATTTCTCCGATTAATTTAGCTGCTCTATGCAAGGACGTGTATATTATGGATATTTGTAAACATTGGTCTAGTGTCAATGTAGTTAATTTTGTTAGCACAACCAATTATCTAACAAAATACAAAGATTGGTTAATACTATAGTGACAAACATACTCCTATTTAGTTTTAATTAATCTAGGTAACCAAGCAAGCAGTGTTAATAATATATCCTGGTTAAAAAAATTATAAATAGGTGTCAATTAGATGATAATCAAACGCGAATTTAAAAGAAAATTTACGTCTTTTATTTCTTTGAGTGTGTGATGAGTGACAATGAGCATCGAATGGATGCTTTTCGTTAATAAAGAAAAAAAAAAGAATTAGAAAGAAAAAAAAAAAATCGTTAATATTAAGCCAAATGATGTTGTTGCTCTTCTTCTTCCAACTCATAGTCGTCTACCTCGTCGTCAGAGCTCAACGTATCTTCTTCAGATTCCTATTCTCAAAAGTCAAACATTACTAAAAAGTCAACATATAGAGAGAGAGAGTTGAAATTTCACACTTGGCATTAAATGATATAACGTTTTGGACTTCGTGATGATATGATTCAAGGTCAAATTTCGTTTTTATGATTTTTCCCATGATCACAAAATCTTTTTCAAACGTGGTACCTACAATACAACCTATTTATCCCCACTCGCATGCGTGAATAATATTCACATCCCACATGCAAATTATTTGGAAATATATATAGTCAAACATAAATGCATATGCAAGTATTTTTTTATTAATTTATGAATATATAAGTGGCCTTTTGGAATCAATAAATTAAAAAAGTTGGGGAACTTACGGTATATTGAATACGACGGAGAGTTTTCTGAATAGCAGCGATTGTTCGAATTATAATGAACATTGGCAATAGAATTCCAATAGCTTTTAATGTTAGTACCTGCATTCATATTTATTCACCCAATTCTTATTTCAGATATATTAAAGAATACAATAACTTTTTTTTGTTCTCTGATTTAGTGATTGGTGTGGAAAAGTAAGATCAATTTATTTTACCGTAAATACAGTGAATGGATACTCTTCGGTTCCACAAATCACATCAAATGTATGTTTCATCAGCAAAAACACTGAAAGCTGCAAAAAATAATGTATCCATTAGTCTTTAACAATATTTTCATCTACTAACATTGATTTTAAGGTTGTAATATGATATAACTTTAACTAATTGGGTCCAACACTTGGCTTCAACAACTATAACATAAAACTCAAGTATAAGATACCAAGCAATCCAAATTTGGTAAAAGGGTAAGATATTTTAGTAGGAGTTGTGGTCTTACTTCTTAGGTGAGACAAATATATATTGAAATGCTATAAAAACTCAAATTTTCTTGGCCAACCAACTACTTACCCAACCTAATGTGCTTTTTTTCTTTCGCTACAAACATTCCAACCATTGAACATAAATTTTTATAATCCCCAAATTTGCAACAAACTCTAAAAATGGTAAAAGACTATGAACGAATAGTGACAAAGCTTTGTAACGGTAACATTGTACATATAATTTTTAAATATATTGAATCATGGTGGGGAAAAGAAAACATTATAAAAACCACATTTATAGGCTTTTGCCACATAGCTACGAAATAGTTTTGGCCAAAAAAGCTAAGAAACAGTAAGTAGTGGTTGCCATATCTATTTCAGAGCCTCCCTAAACTAAGGATTTTTTCCTTCCTCATCATTTGTTTTAACTAATTTATTATTACTATTGATTGATCATCTCTTATTATATTACATTATATTCACTTCCTACCCAAAAAAAAAAAAAGGTTGAGAACTATAATATAAATACTTCCAAAAAAAAAGGAGAGAACTTACAGTGAAAGTTAATGATCTGCAAAAAGTAGCTCCTCTATCAGCAACAGAGTTACACTGAGTAAAATCGGATTCAGCTAATTGTCTTCTTCTTCTTCTTCGTCCATTACTTCTGTTCCATTACAAGAAAAAAATGAAGTTTATTTTCTTGTTAAAATTATTTGTTAAATATGATAATAAAGTACTCATTTGCAAGCTATCTTCCCTACGCGTAAGCAAGGAAGGAATCAGGAAACCACGTCAACGAGTCAATTATTTCCAATTCTTATTTTCAACTTAATCAGTTAATTGTTTTTGTTTATCTATTATCAAATATAATTTACCTGATTGTGACTTCTTCTTCAATCACTTTAAATTGTTTTGAAATTGCTGTATATCCATGTCTATACACCTGCAGGATTTTAATGTTAATAGTTTTTTTTTTCATAACTTTGAAACAAAAACATTCGCACTCTTCCTGCTCCTTTTATTGGGTCTCGTATAAAAATATGAACCCAGTTATCTTTTTATTTTTAAAAATTCACTAAATTTAGAAAGAAAAAAAACGTAAGTTCACAAGTGATTCCGACGGTCAAATTAAATTTATTTTCCGTAAACTATATTATCGGTATGAAATTATTTGACGACAAAAACCAACACGGAAGAAACAGTGATGCAATAATCAATTCAAGAAAAACAGCAAAGCGCACAACACAAAATCAAGAACCCATCTTTTTTTTTTTGCAAAAAGAAAGATCGTAGAAATTGATAATTCGAGTTAATCAAGAAGCATATTAACCTGAAGACAGATTTCACAAGTCGTGTTTCCTTTCTCGTTGCACCAACGTTGTATGCAATCTCTGTGTGCGAACTGATTCGGACAACAAAAAAAAGCTCTGTTTAGTTTCAAATTTAGAAAAACGCAGAAAAGAAAAATCGAAACGATGAGAACTTAAAATTAGATATGAAGTTCTTTACCTTAACGGTTCCTGAGCAAGCACAAGGAACTTCGAAGAAACTTTCTGCCTCTTCCTCATGGCAGATTCTGCAACGCGAGATTCTCAATTTCGAATTCGTCTCATCTATGAACAATACCACATCTCCCATCTCTATAGAGATTCTTTTCTATTTTTGAAGTTTTTTGGAAAGCTCTTCGTTTCGTGGCTCTGTTTTTTTTTTTTTTGTAACTTTGCTCTGTTTTTGTTATCATCTGAAGAAGAGCTTTATGGCAGAGGGACTGCAACTTTATACACACCTTTTTTTTAAGGGGAAAAAAGTATGTGATTTCCCGGTTTTACCCTTATTCACATTAAGAATCATCATTTTCCTTGTCTATAAACAAATACAATGCAACAACTCTAAATGAGTTTTTGACAACAATCTATAAGAACCATCAATGTAACAACATTAATTTTTTTTTCTTAACTCGTTACTTGTTTAAAAAGACGGCTGTATATTCTCTTATTTAGAGTTCATAGAAATTGGATGTTCAAAAAAAAAAAAAGTTCATAGAAATTGAATAAAAATAAGAATTAATCATGTCCTTCGTGAAAACATATCCTAATTGTTTATGATGGATAACATCAAACAAACAATGAAAGATGGATATATATTGCATGGAACAAAGAAGGAAATTTTTTGGCAAAAAAACAAAAAACAAAGGAGGAAATAATTGTGGGGTTTAAATAGTAGTTTCCATAACATACTGTAATGTCCAATCATATTGTTCTGTAAGAAACTGAGAAACGGCCAATAGAAAATAATGAATTATGTAAGTTAATAAAACAAAACGCGGTTCTGTAAAAAGGACGTGTATTTTGTCAACTAATGAGATCACTCACACAAGTCAAAAGTATTTTGCTCTCAGAATTTGTCATTCGGCATATGTTGTGGGAACTCGGGAACTCTTACTTACGAAAATGTAATATGTTTTGGTTGTTCAATTTAAAGTATGTAAAAATAGTGGCAAACCTTCGAATCATTGTGGTTTTTGATACCCTAAAGTTGAATTAATACATTAGATTAGGTTACCTTTCATTTCATAAAAAAACAAATTCTTGTCATTTCTTGCCCTTCTTTTTTTTTAAAAAAATTGCAGATATACACATATATTTAGATTAAATATGTCAAACCATAGGATTGGCTGGTAGAGCAACAAACTAAACACACACATCACAATAAATGCCAAACAAAAATCAATTTCTCATTGGAATTGTCGATTTAATACATTCTGGCGGGAGGAAGTTCATGATTTTGTCAACTAGCATATTAAGAAATTGTATCCTCCAAAATCAACAGTAGGATAAACAAAGGTCGGCTTGGAAAAGTAATGTATGCAGGATGTCTTCCAAAAATATGTTAAGAAAGTAAAACTCTGAGACGATTTTGTCTTTGTGAAGCATCATGTTAGTCGTTTGACATGATGAATGTATTCGGATTTTTAGAATATGTGACAAATTGAAAATTAAAGCCGATATAACAACTAACAATAAGTTTTTCTAGGTAACCTAATAGTCTTCTAATACTCCTTATTAAGGCAGCCTGAGTCACACTGACTACTCGCTATTTATCAGAAAACCAGCGACATTAGTGAATGTAACTTATAGTTCCATTTTTTCGATTTAATTATGTAACTGGAACTCAAACGAATTTTGAAAATGAAGCCTTAAGGCTCACGAATTCTATGATTGCTTTTATCAACGGTCGCCTGGTCAGCTGCGGAGTACACCAGAAATTTAAACTTGTGAGTCCCACTTTATACATTTAGAAATACTATAATGTTTTTTATTTTACATCAATAATCTTATTTTTCTTTTGCCCCATTTGCTATGTTCTGTTAACATATTACTGAATAAATACTGTACCTGAATTTCAATTTTAATTCCTGAAATCAAAGTTAGACAAATGAAAAATTGACCATACCATTAATAGTACGATCTATTATCATTACTTTTTGGTCAAATTTCCATTTTTGATTTAACTTCGTAGATATGAATGTTTTCTATTAAAAACGACAATTGCTTATATATCATCAGCATATCAGGACAATAAACGATTATCCCATTTATTAAAGTAATTGTACTCATTTTTATTATTATTATGTAATTTTTTTGATTACATAATTATTTGCTTATTTTATTTCGGTACACTCAGACGCTGACATTTGTGCTTGTCTCATTTCTGCGATCTTATCTTTCTACGTTGGATTTTTCTTGGCTATATTCAATTCGCCGACTGATCATTTTCTGGTAGATTCTTGTAATTATCATTATGCACATAAGTGATTTGTTCAATTTAATTGGGCCGCCAAAATATATAAATATTGCCGGTACAAAAAAAAAATTAGTTAGAGTTTAGCAAAAGAAAAGAAGTAATTAGAAACATCATTATAAATCTAGTTCAAAAAGTGTCAAGAATGTTCGTCTTTTGATGCGAACAACGAATATAATATGTAGCTTAATAAATTGTGTTAATGTTGTCACATGTCACTACTCGTATTTAAATTCGCATAATGCATACATATTATTATAGAAAGAATTGAAGTAGAATAAAATATTAAATATAGGCATATAGCCATCGTAAAGGAGGTATATGTATAAGTTGATTTCTTTTTAGGATCCGTAAAATCGTTTTCGATAATTTTATGTGCGGTGTGTATTACAAAGAGCACTAAAATATCAAAAATATTTTCTAATAATGATGAACCTTTTACTTAAAAACAATTTAGTGACAGATTAAGCTCTTTGGAGATTATCTAGCATACTTTTCCATGGTGTCTTGAATCCTGAATTCACATTATTTAGATAAAAAAAAAAAAAAAAGATTAAGAACATTGGATCTTCCCTGTAATTGGGCTTAGTTATGTGGACTCAGAGACATCGTTGTGGGTTCATTTGTGATTTTGGAATCCGCACTGTTTGCCGTTTTTTCCTAAATGATTTTCTTATTGAGCCAAGGTCCGTTTGTGATTTCTGAATTCGCACTGCTTGTCGTTTTCCGTTTCTGCTTTTCTTGAGGAATTGAGCGAAACTCGCCTCTTTCGTCTTACTCGTCTTCGAAGCTAATTAGAATCCTGACGATCTCTCTCTCCCTCTCTATCTCTCACTTTGTGTTCTTTGTGTCGCGATCGGATATTTTTGAGTTGTGTGGTTTGAGGATTGAGCAGTCATGTTCTTGGTAGATTGGTTCTATGGCGTTCTCGCTTCGCTAGGGTTATGGCAGAAAGAGGCTAAGATCTTGTTTCTGGGGCTCGATAATGCCGGTAAAACCACCTTGCTTCACATGTTGAAGGACGAGGTTCGCTCTCGAGTCTCGATTCCTTCCCTTTTTTAAATTCCTCCAGTGTCTAATTATTTGCTCGTGTTTCACTTTTCGCCATCTAATCGATCCATTTCGGGTTTTCTTTTTCTTCCCTTGATTGCTCCTTGTGCTCGATAATATTTGATTCGTCTTAGATTGTTCTCGATTGAACTTCCGTGACCTTATCGATCTCCAATTTCGCAAAAACAAAAATTGAAGCTATAGTGTTGTTTCAGTTATGAGAAGTTTCTAAATTTGGAGGAGATGATGAATTCGATTTAGGAATCTTCATTTATAGTGTTGTTTTAGTGTTTTAGTGCTTTTTCTTTCTGCGTTTATGCTCCACCAATTCTTGTATATGTGATATTGTTCTACTATGACACACCAAAAGCTCATCTCTTTCAATCAAATGATCTAGACGATATAATGTGATTTCTACATTGATGCAGTTCAACATTTTTTGTTTTTGGTTTTGGTTCACTAATCGAAACTGGTGAAACAGAGATTGGTACAGCACCAGCCGACGCAGCATCCAACATCTGAAGAACTTAGCATTGGTAAAATCAAGTTCAAGGCTTTTGATTTGGGTGGTCATCAGATTGCTCGCAGGGTCTGGAAGGATTACTACGCTAAGGTGAGTAATCTTGTGTGTTCCAGCTTTTTTCCTTTTCCTGCCACTAAATACCATATAATGGACCATCTTCAAGGTTTTATCGTTGTTTACCTGTTTTCTTCTGCTCATACTTCACCTAATCACTGCCCCATATTAATCCCTATTGAAGATTTTGCTCCTCTGCATTAGATTGGTATTGCACACTTCTACCTAGTGAAAAGCCTGGTTTTTTAGTTTTTTCTCATGCGTGATTCATCATGTTAGATCATTTTCACTCTAGTGTAATTTGTCCAGTTGAGTATAAAGCTTTTTCTATAATCTTTGAAATTACGATAACCATATTATTAACCATTTAGTTTCGATGATTTACTCTGATTCTGCAGGTGGACGCCGTGGTCTACCTAGTGGATGCTTACGACAAAGAGAGATTTGCAGAATCGAAAAAGGAACTCGACGCACTTCTCTCAGACGAATCTCTAGCCACCGTTCCATTCCTGATTCTAGGAAACAAGATAGACATACCATACGCTGCATCAGAGGACGAGCTCCGTTACCACCTCGGCCTCTCCAACTTCACAACGGGAAAGGGTAAAGTGAATCTAGCTGATTCGAATGTAAGACCATTGGAGGTTTTCATGTGCAGCATCGTCAGAAAAATGGGTTATGGCGAAGGCTTCAAATGGCTCTCTCAGTACATCAAGTAACTAAGACACACAAAGAGACTCCAACAGATTGGCGTTATTATTAATACCGTAAGCTTTCTATGAATCCCAGTTTTTTTTTGTATTTTGTCTTTTTGCTTTTCTTCTTTTTTCCATGTGTTGTAAGAAATGTCCTTAAACGTAGCAGCTTCTCGTGTGTCTGATCCTCGCCTGGTTTGTTTCTTGTAGTGATTGTTTTTTCTTTTTACATTGAAAGTTTGGTAATTTATATTATTATTGAAATAAGGGAAAAGTTTGGATTATAATTTAACTTTGTGAAGTCAGTTAACTAATCCCAGTAGAGAGAGAGGTGTGGTTGAGCAGTTTTTTCACTTTGGTTTCACGCATAGTCAATAGATAAATAATACTAGCAGTAAAAGAGTTTCTCGACCGTTGGATTAAACGTTGAAATAAAATCAAACCATCCGTGAGATTACTCAACAAACCCATCAAAATTTTCTCGTTCATGATCCCACCAATATAATATTTGGTTTGTGTATATGAATAAATAATCATTAAAGTAAAGGATGGAACCGTTTAACGAACTCAATACAAACCAAACCATTTCAATTTTCATGTGTTGTGTGTACTTATATACTCGCACACACACACACACACATAGTTAATAGGATCGTTCTGATCTGAGAATGGGTAACGCAATCGGTTCTCGGAAGTTGGAATCGGCGGCAATGGCTGCCGGAAAAGTTGTATTATCCAACGGAAGAGTACAAAACTTAGAGGAAGAGACGACGGTGGCTGAGATTATGCTGGAAAACCCGCAACACGTCGTCGTCGAATTTGATCCGTCGTCGATATCATTCAACGACCGTCATCGTAAAAACAACGACCGTAAAACGGTGAAGAAAAAGCTGACACCTTTACCGGCGGACAAAACACTCGAGCCAGGAAAAATCTATTTGGTGCTCCCGTCCAAAAGAAACGGTGGCGGCGGCGGCGCCAAATCATCATCATCATCGGCGGTGATGACGTCAGAGGAGATACGAAAAATGCTGTTTAGCGCCACGGCGATGGTAAGGTCATCGTTTAGCTACTATGAAGGGATTCTTCCTTGGTTCACTACTAAAAGCTTTAATAATAATAATAATAATAATAATAATACTCTGGCGACCGATGCGGTGGTTGCTGCAACGTCGGTTGGAAGGTTGGAGGCGGAGACGGAGGAGGAAGGGAGGCCGGAGTTTTTGAGCCGGCAACTGTCGGGAAGAGGGTGGAAACCAAGCTTGGACCCAATCAAAGAGAAGAAAGCAAAGAAGAAAATGGTTCAACGGTTGTTGTTCTAAATACGACGTCGTTTTTGTTTTTATATCCTTTTCCGTTTTCTTTGTATTTTGTGCTTTGTGCTAAATTCGTTTCATTACGTGCGTGTGTGTATGTACGCCGATCACGAGAATCTCACGTGAGCCCAAAAACCTTGTGTTTATTTCGGTAATTCTTGTACATTTCTCATCTACTAGTGTACTAGCAAAAACCCTCTGTTTCTTTTAACATTTATCTTGTTTCTGCGATCAAAATATATTTGGTGACATGTAGTATCTTTGCATAAGTTTGAGTTATGGGTCTAATGCATAAATACATCAAAAAATGTTACCAATCATGAATTGATTTGAATTTTTTGAGTTTGAGTTTGAATTACAATGTATTATACTTGAGTTACAATTTTGATGTATGTCCTTTGTTAAATTGCTAACTCAAAAATTATCTCAACATCAACAAAAATCTCATGAGTTAGAAGTTGAGTTAGGATTTTTTTATTTTAAAATTTAAATTTCCTACGTTGTTGTTGTAAAATACAAAAAATCAGCAAATATTTCTCAACTAAAGTCTTAAAAAATTCAGTTAACCGAAAGTCTTAGTCAACAAATTTTCAAAATTTTCTTTTCCATTTAAATTAGTCAACAATCTGTTCCTAAAAATCTTCAATTGTTGATTTTATTTAATATTTTTCTTTTTAAAAAATACTATTTACACAGAATTATGTGTGTATATATACATGTCTTTTGTTCATTGACATATACACATTCCTCACACCTGTTAGATTGTAGCTGCATGCTACGGCACCTCCTCTTGTCTTCAATTTTGACCAGCAAAATACAGAGGTTTTACATTCTTCATTTTATTTATTTTGTTACTCTATCATTGTATATTCTCTTCTTATTTCCATCCGATAGCTAAAAATATACCTTTCAATTTGAATCTTGATTCATTAACGTTACATATTTGTGTGAAAATATTTGTTTATATTTCTTTATCATATTACTAATTTATTATGTTTTTCTTTGATAAAGATGTCTAATGATGGTGGTGTTGATGGTGCTGCTGCCGATGATGTTGGTGGAAGTATACGTCGTAAGGTAATTTTTAAGTGACATGCTAAATTTTAAACATAGGAATATATAGTATTTAATTTTGTTGAAATAAATTATAGAAACAAAAAAAAATAATGTGGAGCGATGAGCAAATTGGGATATACTTGGAGCTTCTCGATATTGAATTGGCCAAAATAAGATACAAGCAAAAGTTGCCTAAAGAAGTTGGAAGAGAACGTATTTGTAAAGAATTTTTGGGAAAACTGGTATAGATCTTCTTTGGGATTCTTTCAAAAGTAAATACGACACCTTGAGAAATATGTATGGGTCGTATAAGAGGTTGGTGAATTTTACCGGAGTGTCAGCAGACCACAACACTGGTTTGATTGATATGGATTCCGAATGGTGGGATGACCGTGAAAAGGTATTATTTTTTATTCTAAAGTTTATAATTAATTTATTGTTATTGATAGTTATTAATGTTTACATTATATATTTTGATTGAATTTTGCAGGAAATACAATATGCAAAACAAATTCGTGAAAATGGAATCCCACATATGGAGCTTATGAGTCGTATATTTGGCCGTCAAGGGAATAAACCAGAAGCTATGTACCCGACTCATATGCAAGATGCAAAGAGTGCTGAACAAGATGAGAGGGTACCAGAAACCCAAGATAAGGATGCAGATGATTCAAACATTATTCTTACAAGTGATGTGCAATTACGGCCACAAACCATCTCACTGGAATCTCCTCAAGCATCGCCTATTGGTCCATCAAAGCGGTCAGCTAGAAAACAATCACGCGTTACTCCATATGAAAGTAATCGAGGAAAAGATGTATCACAAAGTCGGGAGAAAAACTTACCACGAAGAAGAAAGTCGTTTGAAACAGAGATCAATGAGCAATTCAGAGAAATGATGGAATTTCGCCGTGTTCAAGTGGCAGAAGCGAAAGAGCGTAGAGAAAAGAATGAAGCTCTACCATATAAAGATGCTTATGAAATCTTGCAATCAATTCAAGGTCTAACAAGGTGGACAGATTTTTGGTGGTCTTGTATCAGAATATTAAAAGAGGATCCTTTTGCCCGAGAAATGATTGTCTACAATGAAAGTGATCATGATAGGATCACATTTTTGGAGGGTTATACAGGATATGATCGTCATGGAAATTTCATTGGCAATCGTTTCAAGACTTTGCAAGGTGGCAATGGTGATTCTCCAAATGTCAACTTAGAACAACACCTCAGACCAACAGAAATGGAGAGTCAGCGAGAATTTAGTGCTCCATCTCATAGAGAACTAATGTCATTATTCAAAGAATGTGGATATGAACGTGGAGCTGAAAAATATGGTGATAATGGAGAATCTAGCAAGACGAGGATTAATCTTGAAGATTAATAAATAGTTTTATATTTTCTTTTTTTTTTTGTTTAAATGCAATAACATTTTAAAGTTTATGGGTTTTGATATTTTGTTTAGGTTTAGTTCAGAACTAATAAAAAAAATTTTTGGGTAACATGTGTCATAATTTTTTTAAATATCTAATAATTTTTTTATTTTCTTATATTTACAGGCCATGCGACTAAACGAGTTATATTCCTGGGGTTTTGAAAATCTTACAGAAGATGAGTTGCTAGAATTGTACGATCTAGAAGACGAAGAGTATATGGATATGATTATGCAACCTTCAATGGAATATTATCAACGTTACTTTTCTAAGCGACCAATGGCGTTGGAGCGGGGATTGGGTTGGAGAAACCTTGAAAATCAGATTCGTAATAATCCAGCACATTGCATGACTATGCTAAGGATGCATCCAAAAGCATTTCAGAACCTATGCACAATACTGGAGCAACGTTACAACTTAAAGAGTACTGATCATATTAGTATTGATGAGATGGTGGCAATATTTCTCGTTACATGCGCCCAAAATGATACACAACGCTATGTTGGGTTGTCATTTGGTCGTTCCCAAGAGACTATATATCGAAAGTTTCACGAGGTATTGAACGCATTGGAGAGTCTTGCATGTGAGTATTTAAAAACTCCAACAACAGCGTCACTCCAGCATTATCCACGTAAGTTACAAAATAATCCCAATTATTGGCCTTTTTTTAGTGGATTTGTTGGGGCACTTGATGGGACGCATGTCAGAGTAAAAGTTGGAGGTCGCGATTCAGTTGGGTATTGGGATAGACATGGACAAACAAGTCTAAACATAATGGGCATATGTGATATAAACATGCTCTTCAAGTATGCATGGCTAGGCGCATCTGGGTCTACACACGATTCATTGGTGTTACAATATGCAATAGATGGAGACCCAATATTCCCTAAACCTCCAATAGGCAAGTACTATCTTGTTGATTCTGGATATGCAAACAAGCGAGGATTTTTGGCGCCGTATAGAGGAAATAGTAGAGAAACTATCAGATACCATCTTTCAGAATTTAATGAAGGTCCTCCCAGGAACAAAAAAGAATTGTTCAATAGGTGGCACACGTCACTTCGTTCTGTAATCGAACGTACATTTGGAGTTTGAAAGAAAAAATGGAGGATTCTAGACAATTTGCCTTGATACAACGTCAAGACTCAAAATAGAATTGTGCATGCTACTATGGTTCTTCACAATTTTATTAGACGTTACAAAATTCCAGATGCTGATTTTGAAGAAGAAGAAAAGATTACTCGAGATAGTCGTAGACGACAACTTGAAGAAGAAGAGCTTAGAAGACTCGAGGAAAAAGAGGCAACACTTAATGGCCAATATATGAATAACGTACGAGATGAGATTCCAAATATGATTTGGAATATACGTAGTTAACTTTTTAGTTATCAAATTTTTTATTTAATATATTTTTATTTATTTAATATATTTTAAGTTAGTATAACTCTATTTTTTATTAAATTTCGTAATAAATATAATTGTTATTAATAATTAGAAGTTTATTTTATTTTAAATAATGTATACTGCATTTTATACAGCAAAAAAGTTACCAGTCAACTATTTTGACAAAAACTTGATTTATATTTTTACAGCAAATTTACCACATAAATCTACAGTTTCTACTACATAATTTTTACTACAAGATAAATCGAATTACAACATCAACTTCAACTCAAATCTAACACTACATGTCACCAATCATAGCACTGAAAAATATAGTTAATATGTTGACGAAGATAGCATTTACAATGGAATAAATATAGCTAAACACATTTCTACATTTTCAAACATATATGTAGAATTTCAGATTATGTTCAAATTCATGCACTTTTTTATTGTAAAATGTTAAATTTTATATCATTTTCGTTTTTGACTGAAGATTACAAATAAACAGGTAGCAGAAAATCGAATCAAAACTACTAAAAACACAACAAGCGAATAACTAAATTCTTCTAAAACCGTCATAAAAAATAAACCAGCAAATTCATGCACTTACTACATAGGTATAATAATCATCGTTTGGTTAGTGACATGTTATATAAATTAGCCCACCCCTAAAATTCTAATATTTTGTTTGCACCAATCGTTAGATATGTCTTTGTATTTATACATCCATTGTTTGCATCCATTGTCGACCGATATTCATGAATGTTTGGATCGAAAGAGTTTTCTAACTGGATTTTTTCCCTTGAATTATGAGGGAGTATCCCGTCGGCGCAATCTGTGACTAATAGCATGTTTTTTTTCTTCTTGTAATTAACGACATCCGTTTCATGCATTTATTCATCTTCTTGATTTCTTTCTTATTTATTTGTTTTTTTTTTTTGTTTCAGAAAAGTTTTAGCATGAAAAGAATTTCTAAGGAAAAGAAGTGAGATGTTGCATGACTTCTTGTCGTAAAAATCTATAGGTTTTTTTCGAACGTGCGTGTAGATTTACTTTGCATAAGGCAATATATATGAACAGGGCAAAGTATCAGTAAAAGAAGGTTCCAAAGTATCACTTAAAGAGGAATTCTTGCATGTTAAAAAAGTCGAAAAAAGCTTAATTGACAAAAAAGGTAATAAATCGCTTCAGTTCCATCCGAAACCAAAGAAACCAACACTAAAAAAAAAAAAAAAAAAAAAAAAAAAAAAGACGATGACGGTCTCATTCTATGGTTTGCTACTCGATCGCATCCCATAATCTCCTTTCCATAATGATCGAGAACACCATTTCTCAATCTTCAAAAAATCTAAACTTGTTTCAGCTGTGATGCAACATTCATTGTAAAACAGTTTCTTTAACGAAAAAAAAATTACATTCAATATAACAAAGAGTCAGGAAAAACAAAAATAGAATAAATCAAGTGAATGCAAGTTACGTTTTTCTTTTATATGTGAGAACTCTCTTTTTCGTATGATCTGATGAAACTGTAGAAGACAAGTTTTATATAAGAAAAGAAAAACTATCATCAAATTATTTTGGTATGATTAAAATTTATATGTAATCTTTAAAGCTAATTTTCTAAATAACGTTAAGTAGTAGTGGACCAAATAATCGGTCAGTACCTTTTCTCTTAACAACAAACAGCTTGATTACTTATTAAATCTTTTACACAAGGTCGGGTGAGAAATTGCGTAAAGCCTATTTTACAATCGCATCAGCAAACATACAACCGCTATACATAACCACTAAGGCACTAACCCACTTTCATTCGATGGTAACACGATATATTTTTACATTGTTTTTATATTTTGTTTCTGATTATCTGTGTAACATACTAACATATACTGATTAGAGTCTTAAATATCTAAAAAAAGGTAAACCACTTATTGGATGATATATACATACTACATACAATTTGTTAATTTTATTTTAAACAGTAAACATTAATTATAATATCTTTTAAAAGTTGATGTAAACTAATTATCGAACCAAAAAAAATTTACCGATGGAAAGCTTAACTAATTAAATGTATAATTTAAAGATTACTTAATACTTAAGCTAAAAAAACAAATCAATCAAAAATTTGTTTTTGTTAAAGTCTGATTTTAAAAGGTATCGATCAGATATTAACTAGGTTAGTATAAAAAAGAATTCGAAATTAAATACAGCTACATTTGATTCGACGTATATGTCTGAAAAATGTTTAATCAGATAGAATCATTAAAAAGTTAACTAATTATTAATTATAAGAAAATCCTTACAAATAAAGGGTTTGTATGAAGAACAAAATGGTTTGCATGTGACACGTGATATCTCGTCTTCAGGCACGTGCATGGCACGTCGTCCTCCCTCTCGAAGATTTTTTTTTATTCTTCATATTTTGTATAATGAAAACATGACGTCACATCAGCTGATGAACACGGACATATGATTGGTCATGTTGCAAATCAATTTTTTTTTTTAAAAAAAAACTGTATTTGTTGTTAGGTGATATTGTGTCGTTTGAAAGCTGCTTCAAGGATCCAACGAATACGTCTAGAGTCTAGATGCAGTAGACAGAAGTTAACTAGTTAGCTATATATAAATTTCAAAACGGAATTTCTTACTAAGATGCATATTATCGACGAAATCGTGTTATACATTAAATTTCTGAAAATGAAATAGAATTAAATAAACTTATAATCCAACAAACGATTTGTAATCATATAGATGCAGTAGACAGAAGTTAACTAGTTAGCTATATATAAATTTCAAAACGGAATTTCTTACTAAGATGCATGTTATCGACGAAATCGTGTTATACATTAAATTTCTGAAAATGAAATAGAATTAAATAAACTTATAATCCAACAAACGATTTGTAATCATATAGATGCAGTAGACCGAAGTTAACTAGTTAGCTATATATAAATTTCAAAACGGAATTTCTTACTAAGATGCATGTTATCGACGAAATCGTGTTACGTTAAATTTCTGAAAATGAAATAGAATTAAATAAACTTATAATCCAACAAACGATTTGTAATCATATACTTAGGTCTCAACTACAAGATTAAATGTAGCCTAGTGATCAAACAGTGATTATTAAAATACATTATCATGAAAATGTGGGTGAAATTTTTGGATAAGGGAATCTTTAGCTTCACAACAAGCTTTGCCTCATTGGACACCAACACGTATTGAGAATTGAAGAGCTTATGTTAGATAACCTTTTTTTTGTTGGTTTAATTTATTTTAGATAACTAGATAGCTTAAAAAGCAAGTAATCATTAGATGCGATCTCATCGGAAGGGTAACTATCTCCATACTTTACATTTTAATTAATTACACAATCGATCGCTGATGGTCAAATCAATGTGTAGCTGTGTTCAATTAATGAATGAAATAGAAATTTGTGGCAACTAACGGACCACTCACGAGATCGCGTTCGCATTTTGTTGTAAGGAAATTAAATGTTGTTAATGACGCAATTTTATAAAAAGTACTTATACGACATATGTATATAATATTCAACTTTAAATTAAATTGAGTTCAGATTTTGTGTTCTTGATATATAAATGCACATACAGTGATCACAATTTAAACCTCTTTTCAGTTTTGAAAATTAATATAGCAGATTTTTCAGTTTGTTTTAATGAAAAACGTTATTTATTGTGTAATTAGTAAGTTCCCACCAAACAACGACTACTCGGCAGCAGTTCCTGCAGAAATATATGAAGGGATCCAATGAGGGGGTTCAATTCACTCATTTTTTTCTTTTCAATTTCATTTACCCTCGTTTTATACTTATATTGACATGTGTCGCATAACAAAAATACAAATCCAACTGCTGATTTATAATTAAAATGAATAATGCATATGGACTAGAAAACATGTAGATTTGGATTTTTCTTATTCCCTTTCCTTATTACTAATTAAACATATACTCGAATTTCTCAAAGGTCAAACCTTTAAACTAGTATACTCCACAGTTTTCCTTCAAAACGAAAAGTATTTACTTACATCTTCGTTTATGGAACAAAAAAAAAGAGAGCAAATGTTTATATTACAAAACACAACATGTGTTTGCCCACTTGAACCATTAATGACTTGCTCTCGTCTAACTCGCCAGTTTGTACCCTCATGAAAATTTTATTTGATGTAAAACTTTTTATAATAATTTTAGAAACCCACCATTATGTTTCATGTTCTTAAATTCATTTCCTTATGGATATTCTATACCTGTACATACAACACTAACTAGCAGCCTTAGCTGTATATCCATAAGACAACTATATTATGGCAGAGTTGCATATTTATAAACAAAATATTAATTAAATAACTATAAGGAGAAAATGATTACTATTAATATATATGGAGTACTACTATAAATACGAGATGCACAACACCAATATTAATTAAAGTAATAAGTTACATTTGTCTTCAAATAAAATGAATATCGGTTTTACCTCACTATGGTTAAACTCGGACTGGTAGTTAATACAATTTTTTTTTTTGGTCGAAAATGTTAAGAAAATTAATGAACCATAGTTAAAACACATCAAAGGTACAAATTTTTTTTTTTAAAAAAGGGTACAAACTAACATAACCATTTTTTTTTAACATCTACATAACCATTTTGTTATTATATAATTTCATTAATTACACAATTAGACAAAAATCACGGTTTGGACCAGCTAATTTTTCAACTTTAATGAGAACTAAAAATAATTTCACGTAGGAATTAAGTTTTTTCGTAAAATGATATAGATTATATGGTTAATTTGTTTGTCACTCATATCACAATTCCGTATATACGTTTATTCCCACTGATTATCTCAATTTCACAATATGGTTACCATTCAAATAAAACCACAAAGCATTAAACAAAAAATCACCGAATTTGCAACCACGCATATCATGTGGATGGTGTAATTGTCTAGTGTGTGCATCAAAGTATAACCAATTTCTAACCTCGAACGACTTTGAAAAGTGAAAAGCATCAGATCACAACATACGCAGATACATCAAATACAGCAAACTAAATAATAAAATACATAGTAGTAAAAACAAAGAGTTAAGAGCTGGAGACATGAGCTGTGAAGACATGTCTGTTATAGAAAGAATCCAAACCAGACTCTTTGATGCAAAGAGAACTTGTCATGTTATTTTGCAATTATGTGATTCTTTGCTGGCCCTTTTATATACTGGAGCCCAATTCAAGACTTCATTATAGAAACTCACACATAATCATTTATTATTCCTAGGATAAGACATATACATACATATATAATATGATTCTGTGAATACTACCATTATCAGCCATGGTTAATTATCTCTCCAAAGCATATCCCAAAAAGAATTGATGGTGTATATATGTAAGGGAATCGAATCATAGACCTAGAGTATTTTTTATATGGATGACCAATAATTATATGGTTAGCTCATAAGATTGTACTTTTCCAACATTATGGCACAACTAACTAGTGTATCAAAATAATAACAGTATATAATTAACAATATCTAACACTCCTACTAATTGTTTTATTTTGGAGTTTAGGAATTAGGAGCATGCATCATTTTATTGTCTCGTGGTGTCTATAATTAACATACTTTTTTCCATGGAGCACTCTACAAAAAAAGGTTTACGTCTAAAATCGTTATAATATGCAAAATAATTTTAGATTAATAAATGGGTTTCGATCACTAGGTCAAATTATTCCTTGAAGTGACTCCATATGCTTATACTAGTTTCATTTATTATTGTAGTTACACCCAACGCAGCATAAAAAGTCTTTGAAAACAAAAAGAGGGGTATAAATTTAACTATAAGCACAAATCAATATTGATAGAAATCACTAGCTAGTATGATTATAATTTATATTAAAGACTTAAGAGCAATAAGCAATGACGGATTCCATGACATTTGTCATTGTGATAGTAAATATATTACCCTCGAGTCCTTTTTCTATTTTTTTGTTCGCTTTATTCCCTTCAACTTTTTAAATGTGACATTTTTATTGATTTCATTGTGATGAAATAGTTAATTTATATTAGGCATTAATTTATCTTTATAAATTATTTTATGATGTCGTGTATGAGAATGCCACGTTGAAGGGTATAGAAAGCTATATTCTTGGCGTTAACGCAACCATTTCCTTCAAATTATTTAAATACTTTTTTTTCTGTCACCAAAAGTATTATGTTGTTAATTTATTTCCATTTCCTCTAAGAAATTCTTCCAATTACCATCTGATTTTCTTTGTAATGGCATCTTATTTCCATTTATTTTCTTTGTATTCTCTGTAATTTTGTCAAAAACTCGAAAATCGTATTAAAATCTTAACATTTTTACCAAAAAGAAAAAAATGCCATTACCATATGTTTCTTTCTCGTTTTAAGAGGTTCATAAATTCATTACGGGAAAATAATTTCTGTACATTTTTTGGTGTAAGATTATCGGTTTCTATATATATATATATATATAATACTATATATATAAATAATAAATCGAACAGTCATTTAAATTTTTCATTTTAACTTTCTTAAAAAAAAATTGAAAAATTTATTGCGTCTAACCTCGAGCGGTATAATTGTTGCGTGCATGAGATATCAGCAGCAACTGCAAAAAGCAAACCTGTTAGTTGGAGAACATTTACTTTTGTACCTTTATAAATTTATTGTATTTATATACACTATATTTGTTGAATACATCATTGAGTACTCTACATCATTTGGTTTTTTGATTCCATGTTTTTAATGGAATCACATCAATATATACACATAAGTGAATTGTTACTAGTTATCTAATAATTAATCACTTTTCATCTTATATCTTAAATCTCCAATCTCCACAACTAAAATTGTCACGTTCTAAAAAATAATAAAATAAAACTTACTTTATTTTTTTTTCACGTTCTAAAAAATAATAAAATAAAACTTACTTTCTTTTATTTTAGTGAAGAGACTTTAAAGCCAACCAAAGCAGGCCATCTTTTGATCTATCTTGTATCCATATATATATATACATGTGCATTCATTGAAAAGTTAAAAATAGTTATATAATATTCAATACTAGCAATTAAATAAAGCCGAAAGTTTTCCCCCAATTAAGAAAACATTAAACGAATAAAAAATCTAACACAATAATAAATCTCCTAAGCCACCAGACTCATGCGAATTTAAGATGGGTCGTGTTACTTGTTTTATTGTAGCAGTTGTTTAACTTGGTCATTTTAGCAATCAATTGGTCACTGAATTTACCACATAAGTTTGGATATCAATAGTAAGTTTATGCAAGTTAAAATTCACAAACATGATAATTTTTGTTTTCTAAGCGAATATTTTGGTTTTGAATGAGACTTGTGGTCATTAGTAAATACTCTCTCTGTTTCATTATAGTTGATTTTCTAGATTTTCTAGATTTTTTTTCTTGTTTCATAATATTTGATTTCCTACATGTAATTAATGCATGACTCTTCTTTAAATTGAATGAATAATATTAATGCATGTTGCTTTACTCCATTAATGCACAATTAGAAAAGAAAAAGTAATAATAAAAATAATAAAATCAGTTGTAAAAGTAATTTAATTAACAAAATAAATATTAAATAATTGAGCATTTATAACTTTCTTAATCTGTGTGTAAATATTCAGAAAATCAACTATAATGAAACAGAGGGACTACACCGGAAAATATAAACACTATTTTGATTCTTGCAACTATTTACAAATTCTAGACTATTTATTTATGAAAACAAAATCGTGAAGTTAGCATTCTAAAAAGATAACATGAAATAATGAATACTAATAAGTATTTTAGGAAATAATGAATGAAGGTGGATTGGAGGAATCATGATAGGCTGATGCTAAGCAATAGTGTGGTTTTGTGTTGCCAGCTAGGAGCCTCAAAGGATCCAAAGAGCTTCGTCCAGGGGTATATCCGTCATTTCAACATTCATCTTCTATTCCACAACTCTCTTCCATATTTAAGACACTTCAATTCTTCACATGATTTTTCAAAATCTCTCTCTCTCTCTTCTCTCGTGTTCCCACTTTTGCTCTCTCTCTCTCTCTCTCTATCTCTTACACTTTTTATTTTGCTGTGTGTGTATATATTAAATATTCATTTAATTTTTCCGGATCGAGAAGAGAGAAAAGTTCTCCATGTTCTGATTGTTTCACGAAGACCAGAAAGTTACGGCAATGGCGGTTTATGGCGAGAAGAAGCATTGGTGGCTTCGCAACAAGAAGGTCTGTCTTCTTCATTTTCCCTTAATCGGATCTGTTTTCCCCAGAGAGATTCCAAATCTATATCTCATGCATTGTTGTTCTTTTTCGAAATCGATCTGATCCGCTCTTCTCAAATTGTTTTTCAGATCGTGGACAAGTACATGAAGGAAGCAAGGAATTTGATCGCGAGCCAAGATCCCAACGACGTCAAATCGGCTCTGAGTCTAATCGAATCTGCTCTCTCTGTCTCTCCTCGTTACGAACTCGCTCTCGAACTCAAAGCCAGATCGCTCCTCTACCTTCGTCGATTCAAAGACGTCGCCGATATGCTTCAGGATTACATTCCGAGCCTTAAATTAGCCGGCGAAGACTCCGGCTCCGGCATCGGTTCATCGGAGCTTTCTTCCACGCATTCGTCTCGAGAATCGGTCAAACTTCTCAACGATTTGCCGACTCATGATGATTCCTCCTTCAAATGCTTCTCTGTCTCCGATTTGAAGAAGAAAGTCATGGCAGGTCTCAGTAAAAACTGCAACGAACAAGGGCAGTGGAGGTAATAATTTATTAATTTTTCTTTTTTTTGAGGTAAAAATAACCCGACCCGGTTTTGATTCGGATCCTCTCTTTCTTCCCTGTTACAGATATTTGGTTCTGGGTCAAGCTTGTTGCCATCTAGGTCTAATGGAGGACGCAATGGTCCTTCTCCAAACCGGTAAACGCCTAGCCACCGCCGCGTTCCGCCGTCAGAGCATCTGCTGGCCCGACGACAGCTTTATCCTTTTCTCCTCCGTCGACGGCGGATCCTCTCCTCCCTCCTCCGTCGTCGTCTCTTCTGCCTCTCAACCTCGATCTCTCACCGAATCCGAAAGCGTCGCTCACGTGTTATCTCACATTAAGCTCCTCTTACGACGGCGCGCCGCCGCACTCGCCGCTCTCGACGCCGGACTCTACTCCGAATCAATCCGCCATTTCTCCAAAATCTTAGATAGCCGCCGTGGAGCGCCGCAGGGATTCCTCGCCGGTTGCTTTATGCACCGCGCCTCCGCCTACAGATCCGCCGGCAGAATCGCGGAATCCATCGCCGATTGCAACAAAACCTTAGCCTTAGATCCGTCCTGCCTCCAAGCCTTGGAAACCAGATCCGCATTGCTCGAATCCGTTCGGTGTTTCCCGGATTCGCTTCACGATTTAGAACACTTGAAACTCCTCTACAACTCAATCTTACGTGACCGGAAACTTCCCGGTCCGGTTTGGAAACGGCACAACGTCCGGTATAGAGAAATACCGGGGAAACTATGCGTTTTGACCTCGAAAATCCAGCAGTTAAAGCAGAAAATCGCAAACGGAGAGATCGGAAACGTGGATTACTACGCTCTGATGGGAATCAGACGCGATTGCTCGAGATCAGAGCTGGATCGAGCTTACTTATTACTCAATTTAAAGCATAAACCGGAGAGATCAATGTCATTTATTGACCGGTTAGAGTTAACCGATGACGAAGAAGAATTAGACTCGGTTAAGGACCGAGCCAGAATGTCAACTCTGTTACTGTACAGATTGATCCAGAAAGGTTACTCCGTCGTGACAAGTAACATCGCGGCGGAACAAGCGGCGGAGAAGCAACGGAAAGCAGCCGCCGCCGCCGTTACGGAAAATCATCGTAGTAATAACATCGAAACGCCGATTAGAGCGGCTGCGGTTGCTGCGAACAGTAACAACAGTAATACGAATGTGGTGAAAGGAGTGTTTTGTAGAGATTTGACGGTGGTTGGGAGTTTGATTGCACGGGCCGGGTTTAATCAACCAATTCCGGTTAAATACGAAGCGCTTAGTTGCTGAATCTTCTTCTTCATTTTCTTCTTCTTGATTCTGCAGTTTGTACAAAAGAAAAGACAGATCACATTGGATGAAATTATGGATAATAAGAATATTGTCTGCCCGAGAATTTTGGAGCTTTCTCTCTTGTTTGTTTCTTCTTTATTCTTCTCTCTGCCTAAACGACAAAAAAACCCCCCAAAAAAAGTGATACGTAAGCTTAGGAAAATTTTATATCACTATTCACATTTGTGTTTCTGTTTTCGGTGAGATACTTTATTTGGTCGATATCAAATAGTTTGTAAAAAACATCTAATTTGAGTTTCTTTCTTTTTAACATTTAAACCGAATACACAAGTACATTATACAAACGATAAAAGCAAATGCCAAACGTGGCTGCTTTTTTAAGGAAAAAAAATTAAATGAGGAAGATTGTGAGCTTATTTGGAATAAGAATATACAGTAAATAAATGCGAATGATCAGTGGAAACCTCATATGTTTACCAAATAACAATCGCTATAATCATTTGGAATTTGTGCATTTCTGATATTTTTGTTAGTTGAACAGCTAGTATTATTATGAAACAGTAATGACAGGATGCAACCCATGAGTTATGAGGAAAAATACACCAGATCATGGAAATTTTAAATATGGTTTTCACATGATCTTTGTTGATACCATTTAAATAATTATGTAGATCTAATGTAGTTTTCCTTGTAGGAAAAAATATCTTTAAAGGTAGTACTTTTGGTTACAAGTGGAATACTTTATTAAATGATGCAAGATATATATAATTGGCAAGAAGTGTGAGTCATGAAGAGGTTGAAAAGATCACAATATGTTTGATTTTTTAACCCTTTTTAAAAAATTTAAAACAACATGTTTGATTGTTTCTTCTCTTTTCTCAGTAGAGATCTCGTATGAGTTGTTGTAGATTAGTTTGTTGCATTTCCTTATAAAAATATGATAATTAGATTTTAGACGAACCATGCTGTTCATAAAAAAAGTTAAAAATATTAATTAAAAAACCATTTTCCCCCCACTAAATTCAAACCTAGACCAGTACACCATAGTCTTCATGGACTCGTAAACAACATTGAAAGAGCAAACTTGCATTTTTATCATTTATAATTCTAGTTGCTATCACTCAACTAAAGAATGATAAATCTACTAAATTTAAAACAATATATAATACTTCATTTATCTGAATTTTTCAACCGAAAATGTAATCTCTTTCTAATAAACTAGTCTAAGATTTCGTCGGGTAGTGGAAATCTTCCCCTGCCTAGTTTATTTTTATATTTTTGGAAGAAGATCGAAAATTGAGTTACCTTCACGATGACGTTAGATTCAAGTCATATGAGCTTTGATTCAAAAGTTGTTAACTGTTATTAGGCAATATGTTGATAGAAGATGAGGAATATTGAAAAAAATACATTAAAATCTTTTTTTCTTATTAGACATAAACATATAGATGAAAGAAACATATATATATATATATAAAAATATATATAAAACAAAATATCAATTTTGATAAATTTATATTTTAAAGTTACATGTGTACATATATATATATATATATTTCCCCTTTCTTATTCCCCATTTTTCGAATGAAACGCTATGATAATTTGTACACATGTAACTTTAAAATATAAATTTATCAAAATTGATATTTTGTTTTAGTTCTGTTATATGATTCAAGAGAGATATATCATCTATGCATTTTAGATAATATCATTCAATACTATCCCTATCAGTATCTAACTAGAATTACTCAATTTTTTGGGATAAAAACTAACTGAAAAGTACTCGATCGCATGAAATCACAAATATCCGACCACATATAATTATTCGATCTATTGTGAATTAAGATAGTAAGTTTTTGATATTCGAACTAATTTTCAAATATTCGAACCATTACCACCAGATCAATAACCTGCATAATTCAATCTATGTTTTAACATACATTTTAAATATATTTTTTAATAGTTAAATAATTAGTATACGATTCATATCCGGTGGTTCCAACAAGTTAATTAAAAACATGTTTAATTAAGATAATAAGAACATTATAGTAAGCGAAATCTTCTAAAGCTTCATCCTCTAGCTTTTTTTTCGTCTCAATATCTATTATATATTATTATATTGATCACAGAAATGTTACAACATCCAAAATGATACAAAACCAATGTAGTTCCACCATGGGCAACAAAAACTTCTTTAAACCAACTCGGATAACCCTTGACTCCTAATCTGTATATGATTGCCATCAATCCTCTCTCGTAACACTTTGAGCAATACGATTTGCTCAATTATTCGCTTCGTCCTGGAGCTAAAAAATTATTTTCGCAAAAAGAATAAAAGAAAAGAGCTACAAAAATGATGTGATGGGAATACGTAATGAATTCGTCTCTCTGGTTAGAGAAGTTCAGAAAAGAGAAAATATCTAATTGTACACGTAGTGATGTCAAAAGGGTTAGTGGTTATGCTTTTTTTGGTTGTGTCAATAGAAAATGTAGAAGAGATTGTGTTGTTGTCCAAAATAAAAAAGATTGTGTAACTAAATTTTCTGGCGAATGAAAAGAAAATGAGAAGAAAAGGTTAAAAAAATTTGAAAGAAAGAATTGACAGAGGTCCAATCAAATGCACTCAAAACGAAGAAACTTAGGATAGGACAAAACTTTCTTCTCTTTCAGACATGACATTTCGAAAGGTACATGAATGTATAAATTATATAGTTTATTATTGCTGCCCATAACTTTTGTTCTGCTTTTTTCATTCACTTTCTCATTGGGATTTTTGTCTTTACTTTTAAATCACTGTGAAACTTTCTTTGGGTCTTTGCATGCCACAATTCAGACAGCACATCGGTAAATGAGTGTTTCTCGAATTTACCAAGGTAAAACTATAGAACAGCTTAGATTAAATCCGACCAGGATAATTCAGATGAGACCAAAATTAAATTGTAATAACAAATTACAGTTCGAGTTCATTTGGTTTTATTTAAAAATAAAATTACCCCAAGGAGATTTTTATATGCTCTTAAATATCATAAAATTCAATTGTAGTATCTATTTTGGGTTTCCTCATTATCTAAACTTTTGGTTGTAAATTATGTAAATGCTTTGCTAATACAAAACATTTTGTTTAGTAACAATTTTGGTAGTAAATTCTGTAAGCATTTTCCTTGCAATTATTTCATGCTTGAATCTAACACTGCTTTCTCTTTTCTCTTGATTAGGCTCTACACCACAAGGCTTTATCTGTTAATATAAACAAACGTATTTGGGATATTTACTTTAAAGAGTTGCTTCCTTTGTTTGTCAAACCTGGTGATGATTGCAACTACCCATCAATTGCTGCTAGTGATCTCGCGTGTTTACAAGTAAGGATATCATATATATACTCACAAAACTTTATCATTAATTGGAAAAGAATGTACATCGTTCATATATATACACATCTGATTTAGTTAAAGGAGACTAACCAGAGTGGTCTAATCCTACTATATACATCAGACCGATAATAACCGGTATACATATATCTAATACACCCCCCTCAAGCCTCTGAAATCAAAACCAGAGTTGTTGCAGGTTCTGAAGTCAAAACCGGAGCTGTTGCAGGATGAAAGAAGCTTGAAATGCACATCTTCTGAAGAATAGAAAGGACCTGGATGAAGAGCCTTAGTAAGGATGTCAGCATGTTGGTTAGCACTGGAAACATGAAAGAGTTTCATGAAACCACTTTTCACTTGATCCCTTACAGTGTGACAATCCACTTCGATGTGTTTGGTCCTCTCATGAAAAACTGGGTTTGTTGCGATGTGCATTGCAGACTTATTATCGCAGAAAAGCTTCGCAGAGTTGCAGACGTTCACCTTGAGATCTTTTAACAGTTGTGATAACCATAAAAGTTCACAAGTAGCCAGAGCCATACTTCTATATTCAGCTTCAGTGCTACTTCGACTAACCGTCTGTTGCTTCTTAGACTTCCAAGTGATTAAAGACCTGCCAAGATAGACACAGAATCCAGTGATAGAACGCCGTGAATCAGGGCAAGTAGCATAATCTGCATCTGCAAATGCATTGAGACAAAGCTCTAAATCTGCAGCATAGAAAAGACCCTGACCTGGGTTAGTCTTCAAGTATCTGACAATCCGATGAGCCGCTTGCATATGAACATCGGTTGGACAAGATAGAAACTGACTCAGGTAATTCACAGCAAAGGTGATGTCAGGCCGTGTAATTGTGAGGTAGAGAAGCCGACCGATAAGCTCTCTATAAGGCAATGGACTTTCCAGTAATGTACCCGAGTCTTTACTAAGATGCACACTCGGATCCATAGGAACATCACTCGGTTTGCAGGCAAGCATTCCTGTGGAAGCAAGAATGTCCAATGCATATTTGCATTGACAAACAGAGATACCTGAAGAATTTCGAGCTATCTCCAAGCCCAAGAAGAAACGCGGTGCTCCTATATCTTTTATTTCAAAAGCTTGATGAAGAGCATCCTTTAATAACTGTAACTCAGAGGCACTGTTAGAAGCTATTAGTATATCGTCTACATATACTAATAAGACAATGAGAGCTGTAGCTGTTTGCTTAACGAACAATGTATTATCAGCAGAAGACTGAACAAACCCCGAATCCAATACAACCTTGGAGAAGCAGTGGTACCATTGTCGGGAAGCTTGCTTTAAACCGTATAAAGATTTCTTCAATCGACAGACTGCATTAGGTGGGAGAGGACTAGACTGAGCAGGCGTATAACCTTGAGGTAAGCTCATGAATATTTCCTCATCTAAATCACCATGTAAGAATGCATTGGTGACATCCATTTGCGTCAAAGTCCAGTTATAACAAGCAGCTAATCCCAAGACGAGTTTAACACTACCCAACTTCGCAACAGGAGAAAAAGTATCGATGTAATCAATTCCCTCTTGCTGTGTGTAACCTTTGGCCACCAAACGTGCCTTGTATCTTGCCACAGAGCCATCAGGGTTATAATTGATTGTATAGACCCACTTACAATCTATTACATGTTTACCCGGTGGAAGAGATTCAACAATCCAAGTACCTTTTGATTCAAGTGCCAACAGCTCCACGTCCATAGCTTTAGGAAAATGAGGATGAGCCATGACTTGCTTAAAAGTTTGAGGTTCCGATTCACTTGTGCAAGAGAGGATAATGGATTGGTAAGACGGGTTGAGTTTTGAGTAGGTAAGAACTGATGAAAGAGGGTATAAAACTTTGGGAGAAGTGGATGTGGATATCTGAGTGAAGTTGCAATGATAGTTCGATAAGTAACTAGGGGCTTTTACCTGTCGTTTTGGTCTACCAACGGGTAATGCTATATCTCCTGTTCCAGTAGCCACAGTCTCTTGTGTTATAGGTGTGGCACTAGAATGTGATGCAGATGATGAAGATGCAACAGTCATGGATGGAATAGATGTATGTTCAGGAATGTGCAAAGGAACATGATTATCTAATGCAGATGAATCATCAAGAGCTACAGGAATCGGTAAAGGCAATATGGATTTTCCAAAAATATCCGAATCATGAACAGATGGTGAAGATTTCTTATAAGGAAATGTATGCTCATGAAAAATGACATTACGAGAGATGCTCGCTGTATTAGATTCCAAGTCTAACACCTTATAACCTTTGTAACCTGGAGGATATCCTAAGAATACACAAGGTCGTGCACGAGGTGTAAATTTATGCCTATCTTTATTTAACGTGGACACATAACACAAACAACCAAAAGACCGTAGAAAAGAATAGTCAGGTTTCTTTTTAAACAACTTTTCATACGGTGAAACCTTTTGTAAAACAAGAGAAGGTGTTCTATTGATCAGAAAAACGGCTGTTTGAACACAATCTGACCAGTAAACTAAAGGCATATTAGATTGGAACAATAAAGCTCTAGCCACATTCAACAAATGTTGATGTTTACGTTCAACTACCGAGTTCTGCTGAGGTGTATATGCACATGAGAAATGATGTATGATGCCATGATCTTCGAGGAGTTTAGTAAATGCAAGCTCAGGAGCATTATCACTACGTATCACCTTGATGACAGCTTGAAATTGAGTTTTAACATGAGCAATAAAAGTAGGAAAGATAGTAGCAACATCACTTTTATTCCTCATCATATAAAGCCAAGTGACACGAGTACAATCATCTACTATAGTAAGAAAGTATTTGAAACCATCTACAGACTCAATACTAAACGGACCCCATATATCTATATGAATGAGATCAAATGGTGAATCCAAAAGATGATTATGAGACACAAATGGAAGACGTTTCTGTTTAGCTAAAGGACAGACGTCACAAGAACTAATGCTACACTTAGACAAAGGCCATGAACCTGTAATATGTTGTAACTTGGCAGGAGATGGATGCCCAAGGCGTTGATGCCATAGAGTTCCATCTTCTAACAAGGATCCACAGAAGTTGGTAGAGGTAGATGTGACACTTGTCTCCAGAATGTAGAGATTGTGTATAAGATTGCCTCTACCAATCGTCAAGTCCTGAGAATGGTCCTGGATATAACATGAATCGGTGTAAAAATGAGCTGATGCATTATTACGTTTTAAAAGAGTACTGACACTTAACAAGTTAAACCGAAATGCAGACACATAAAGTACATCATATAAGACTAGAAATTTTGAGATATGCACTGTGCCTGTGTGACTAATCGGTACCCTAGTGCCATTAGGAAGGGAGACTGTAACTCCTGTAACAGGAAATACTTCACTAAACATTGTTAGATCAGAACAAACATGTGTGGTTGCCCCACTATCAATTATCCAACTACCATTGGGAAGGATAGAGTATAAAGCGGACAAACATTGGTGTTGAAATGTGAAAGTATTATGTTCAAAACGAAGACTAGTTGAGGGAAACACAAGTGAAATCATACCAGAGGAAGATGTAGCTGCCATAGCTCCTTGTTCTGTTATTGTAGCTGAAGGAGTAGAAGCTGCAGGCTCTTGGTAACGATTCTGTGTACTGTGTTGTTGAAGTAGAGATTGAACTTGATCTTGAGTAAACATGCTCAGGTCAATATTCTGTGAAGCTGGAGATACTGCTGTAACCGAATTAGCAGAATTAGAGAACTGTGCTTGCGGAGGAAAAGAAGGTCGAGGACCATTCTGATATTGACCACGAGGCTGAAACTGAGGCTGTTGAGGTTGAGTAGAAGCTCCTTTAGACATCTTGTGACCAGGAGGATATCCATGCAACTTGTAACATTTCTGGATTGTATGTCCTGTTCGACCACAGTGAGTACACATTGGCCGAGGTGGTCTATATGCAGCAGCACATGCAGTATTCTCATTCGAACCAGTATAATAACCAGTGTTCTGATTGTTATTATAACTAGCAGGAGCAGTAGTTCGAAAAGCCACATTCTCGACATTAGCAGACGGTTTAATAGACTTCTGACGCTCATCTTGTTCAACCATGTTGAAAACATCCTCAATAGAAGGAATTGGCTTAAGCATCAATATATGTCTGCGAGTCGGCTCATAAGCTTCATTCAAACCCATTAAAATTTTAGTAACACGGCTCCTTTGCTGAAGTTGTTCCCACAAACCAGCTGCATTACACTCACATTTCCCACATGTGCAGATAGAAAGTTCAACATAGTTTCGATATTCTTCCCATAGTGTAAGTAACTCTGTGTAGTAAGCACTAACATCCATTGAACCTTGCTGGTTCGAACCTAATCGTTGCTCAATTTCATAAACTCTAGGTGCATCATTCTGTTTAAAACGAGAGCATAGGTCCTTCCAGATTGCTTCAGCCGTAGACATAAAAAGCAAACTCGGGCCTATTTTCTTGGATATCGAATTCATGAGCCATGTTGCTACCATATCATTACATCTAGACCATGAAGCAGCATCGCGATGAGAATCAGGAGGTTTTGGAATAGTACCGTCAATGAAGCCAAGCTTGTTCCGAACATTTAACGCCATACGAACATAACGGCGCCAAGAATGAAAGTCAGATCCAGATGAAAGACGATCGGAAACAAGAACCAGGCCAACATGATCGGACGTGTGTAAGAAGTATGGATTCTGATATTGATCTGTCGAAGATCGAGAAGTATCCATCGAGGAACCTTGATTTGCCGTATTTGATGGAACCGATGCCATTTCAGAGATTGAAATTGAAATCGATGAAGAAGATTCGAGTCGGTTTTAGAGTAATCGAAGAGAAACGACACGAAATCTAGGTCAAAGAAGGAACGAAAAACGGAAAAAGATGAAGAAAGAAAGATGCGAAAGAAAATCAAATACAGCAAAGAAGAATCTGACGAGGAAATCAAATCGCAGCTGAGAAATCGATAAGCTCATAACTGGATTGAGGCTCGCGATTCGAATTTCATGAGAAAGATGAAGTAACAAAGCTCGAGGTATGAACAACAATGGCGGCAACGAAGATTCTCTAATTAGCCGTTAGAGAAGCTCTGATACCATATTGAGGAAATGTTCACTTTATCATTAATTGGAAAAAAATGTACATCGTTCATATATATACACATCTGGTTTAGCTAAAGGAGACTAACCAGAGTGGTCTAATCCTACTATATACATCAGACGGATAATAACCGGTATACATATATCTAATAAAACCAAGTCTACATGATGTGATGTATGTCTGATTTGCTCTTTCGAGAATGATTCACTACGGAAAATTTGTTGCTGAGGTCAAGTTTAGAGATGTTCCACTCTAGATTACATGCAGTTAGGTTTTATTCGAAATGATCAGACCATACAAAGGCTTAGATGAAGCTTTTGACGTTTGCGAACGTAGAAGAAACGGTTAAGAAGAGAGTCGAGAAAAAAAGCAGAAACGTTCGAACAAGAAGTAAAGTGCATGCATGATGCATCTCTGGTGATGAGAAGAATTTCAAAGTGGATCCACGTTAACGTAGCTTTGGTAGGAAAAAAAAAAGAGGGCTGTGGTTTTGACTTTCTTTTCGATATTGGGCCGGGCTAATAAAGCCCATTAATTTCACGTCGGCAATTTGCTTCTCCCGCCGAACCGTTTCAGCATCACCAAAAAGAACAAAATTAGTAAAAATTGAACAAAAAGTTTTCAATTTCCCCCGCTTACTACATTTCCCACAAAACTAAATCTTCCCCAAGACGCTCTCTCTCTCTCACTCGCTCTGCAAATCCCAAATTTTTCTGTTCAAATCTGGGTTTTTTTGTGTGTTTTCAAGCCTATCTTCGATTTCTCCAAACTGTAACCCTAATTTATATACATAGAGAAGAAAGAGATGCTGGAGTCAGGTTTACCTTCGAAGACGTTTTGGGGTGTTCGATTCGCTCTCGTTGGATTCAATCCCATCGATGGAAACACGGTATTTTCTCTATCTCCATCGTCAATTCTTCGGGTGAAATTGCCAAATTGTTTCTTCTTCTGTTCTTAGAGATTCGGTTTTCATTACTCGAGGGTTTCTGATTGATTCTCTGGTAGAAATCTCCGTTGTTTAGTCGAACGATTAATGTGTATTATTACTAGTTAGGTTTTTTTTTTGATTCGCTGACTGTCAATTTTTGCCATAATCTCACCACAGTTACGGTCCAAGCTTCTGAGTGGTGATGGTGTTGATGTTGGCCAATACAGTCAATCCTGCACTCACCTCATTGTAGATAAGCTGGTTTATGTAAGTCTAATATCTTATTTTATGCTCTCTATTTTTTCTTCGCGGTTGAATAAATTCTTATTAATTTTTTTTTTTGGGGTGGGACATCATAGGATGATCCGGTTTGTGTTGCTGCTCGAAGCAGTGGGAAAGTGGTTGTCACTAGATCATGGGTTGATCACAGCTTCGACATCGGAATGCTTATAGATGCGAACTCGGTCAGTTTCTTTATGATTAGTTCAAAAAAAGAAGAAGAAGAATAGTCCATTAACAATATTTATTGATCTTATTATTGCATAATTTGGCAGGTTTTATACAGGCCTCTTAAAGATTTGAATGGGATTCCAGGGTCCAAAAGCTTAGTTGTGTGTTTAACTGGGTACCAACGTCAAGATAGAGAGGACATTATGGTGTGTGCTTCCTCACTTTCTTGCTTTTCATGAATTGGTTTAATTTTATGTTTTTTTTGCTGTACCTTATGAAAGTTGTTTTCTTCGTTTTTCAGACAATGGTTGATTTGATGGGTGGGCAGTTCTCGAAGCCGTTGGTTGCAAACCGAGTAACCCATCTTATATGCTACAAGTTTGAGGGTGAGTCACTTATAGACATTTGGGATAGGTCTCTATTTTGGTTTCACATCTTTAACAATCCTAAACTAGTATTTTTTACGAGGGGAATAAACATTTGATTTGAATCTTTCTTTCTGCGCAGGAGAAAAGTATGAGCTAGCCAAGCGGATGAAGAGGATTAAACTAGTGAACCACCGGTGGTTAGAGCACTGGTGAGAGGCATATAAGAGCTTGAGTTTTTTTCATTCTCTTTTCGTTTTCGTTTTGTGGATGCGATGTAGATTCTCACAATTTGTTCTTCGTCTTTGCAGCTTAAAGAATTGGAAGCTCCTTCCTGAGGCTGATTACGAGATAAGGTAAAAGCGCACACATATCCATCTCTATCCCATGTATCAGGGGTATTCCTGGAATTGCTATTCTGTAGGGTTGGCATAGTCTCTATTAAAAGTTGAACTGTGGCTATCTAAAGAAATTGGTTTCTAGATTCAATGCTCATTTCAGCTTTGACTAGTAGTTACTGTTCAGCAGCTGGTTATGTCAACAAAAAATCTGGGCCAAGCATATACTCCTAGTACAAGCTGATCATTTTCTCTTTTCTCAGTGGCTATGAGTTGGAGATGATGGAGGCATCAGCTCGAGATTCTGAGGACGAAGCGGAAGATGCCTCTGTGAAGCGTGCAAACAACAGCCCTCTTGGTCTTAGGGTCGGTGCTGCGGCTGCAGTTGGAATGTCCAAGTCAGAAGGAAAAGATATCCCGGTTGTTCAAACTAATTCAGGTGTACAGGACGGTTCATCATTCTGTAATACGTCCAAAGACAATTGGTTAACACCGAAAAAGATGGACAGACCTCTTGAAGCTATGGCCAATACTGACGCCGTTGCTGCTCAGCAGAATAATTATCAGAGATCTAGTACATTTCAGGAAGCTTTTAACTATGCGTCCCCCGTTCTAGTCAAAAAGGCTTCTGAGCAAGAGATGGGCAGAATGGCGACCGATGACTCAGCATCTATTAACATGAGTATCAGAAGGCATTCTTCTCTAGCCACTTATTCGAGGAAAACACTTCAGAGATCGCCAGAAACAGGTACTTTAGGAAACGAGTCAAGTGGCCCAAACGGTACCCTTAGAATGGATGACAGGGGCCTAAAAGCTTCGACTGCCTTTAATATCTCTGCATCGAAATCAACTTCTTCCGTGGAAAGAACAACACTCTTTGAGGATCTTGACAAGATTGATAAGTTCCATGGCAAGGAGTCCCCTCCGTCGTTACCTCAGGCGAAATTTACAGATGGATCTGTCAGTAGCAAAGGTTCACAAAAGGTACACAACAACAGCGAGGCAAGTATTCCACCACTGGCTAGTTTGTTGCTGCAGGAATTCAGAACAGGTTCGCCTAAAGAAAGCCTTAGGCCTGTGCCGAGCATTAATGATCCAACTGAAAGTGGGGAAGTTGGCCGTAAATCTCCTGCAAGTGTTTTAAATACTGAACTGTTGAGATCAAATGTAGTACCCGTGGAAGGTGCTATTTCAACTGCGGAGAATATCATTTCGAAATGTGCACAGGATGAAATACCGGAGAGATCATCGACTGAGCCAATGGTGGGGAATAAAATATTACAGGAACTAAGATCAGGCTCACCTGAACAAAACCTTAGGGTTGTGCCAAACATCAGTGACCACATTGAAGCCAGGGAAGTTACACGTAAGTTGGATGTGAGTGATTCAGCAACTAGGTTATTCAATTCAAGTGTTGTTCCCATGGAAGCTGATATTAGGACTCCAGAAATAACTACTTTGAAGGGTATTTTGGATGAAGTACCTGAAAGATCTGTAACTGAGGCTGTGATGAGAAGATCTAGTAACTCTCCTGGGTCGGGTTTAATTGGAATGAAAGACCAGCTAGAAACTGAGCTGCCCAAGAAGACAACAATTCCAAGAAAGAGCCTTGGCACCAGAGGCAGGAAAAAGAACCCCATTACCCAAAAGGGATCAATATACTTGAGCGAACCTACTCCAAAGGACAAGCGCACTGATTCTCTGCAGAAAGGAAACGTTTCAGCGCCAATAACAGATAATGGCAATCCGAAGGAGATATCAAGTCCTATTCTAAATACTGAGGCTGTACCAGAACTGGCAAAACAAATTGACTCAGAGACTGAAGCCCTTAATGGAATGGAATCTGAAGATAATAAATCTTATGTCCCAGAAGAGAAAGACCATCTTGGGAGCCAAGATAAGCTGCAGGCTAAGACCCCGGAGGAAGCTGATGCAGAGGTGGAAATTGCAATGCTAGAACCGGAGCTTAATGATGTCCCAACTAAAGATCCAAGTGATGGTGCATTACAATTAGAGGTTGATAAGAATAAAAGTAAACGCACGAGGGAGGCTACTGTAGGTAAAAATAGCCTTCAAAGTGGGAAGAAAGAAAATTCTTCTACAGCCGAAATAGGAAAATCCACTGTCAAGAAGACGAAAAAATCTAGAAAAGAACATGATGCCAAAGCAAACGATACTGTGATGAAAGATATAAGGGATAACTCTGCGAACGCGATGGAGAACTTTGCTTTGGAAAAGAAATCTGGGAAGGTTAGTTCTGGTGGAGACCAAAGCTCAGTTGCGGGAGAAACATTAGCAAGAAAGGAGGCAGAAACGAAGGATCCAAGCGATGCTGTAGTGAAGTTAGGGGTTGATAAGACTAAAGGGAAACGCAGAAAGGAGGCCACTGTAGAAAAAACTAGGCTTCCAAGTGGGAAGAAAAGAAGTTCTCCTACAGTCGAATTTGGAAAACCTAGTGTCAAAAAGGCTAAAAATTCTAAGAAAGACGATGACGCCAAAGCAAACCATACGGTGGTAAAAGATATAGGAATTAACTCTGCAGAAATGATGGAGAATTTAGCAGTGGATAAGAAGTCTGAGGATGACAGTTCTGATGGAGCCCAAAGCCCTGTTGCGGGGGAACCAGTAGCAAGAAGTGGAAAGAAAGGAAGTTCTTGTACAGTTGAAGTAGGAAAATCCAGTGTCAAGAAACCTAAAAAATCAAAAAAAGAACGTGGCGCCAAAGCAACCGACACTGTGATGAAAGATATAGGGGATAACTCTGCAGAAGAGAAGGAGAACATTGCAGTGGATGATAAATCTGGTACAGAGAAAAGCCCGGTTTCAGGAAAACCATTAGCAAGAAAGGAAGTTGCAAAGTCAGCCAAGAGGGTTACAAAGGCGGATAAAGAGTCTAAGCAGCTCAGTGTTAAGCCCTTGGCTCGTAGAAAAGTCTTACAGGACCAAGAACAGCAGCCCAGGTTTTTTATTGTCAGTGGTCCTAGGTCCCAGAGAAAGGAATACCAGCAGATCATCAGGGGTTTAAGAGGCAAATGTTGCAGGGATTCTCATCAGTGGTCTTATCAAGCAACACATTTCATTGCTTCTGAAATCCGTAGGACCGAAAAGTTTTTCGCTGCTGCTGCATCTGGAAGGTACAAATAAATCCTTTCAGTCAACTTGTTTTATTGCCCTCTTCAGCATAATAGACCCTCTGTATTGTGTAGAACACCAAACTAAGCCCTTTTAATAAGGATTTTCAAACAGCTTGATAGTTTGAGCTTCTCCTATGATATTTTTTCCGTATTTTACTCATCACTTTCCTTAAATGCAGTTGGATTTTAAAGACTGATTATGTGGCTGATTCAAAAGAAGCTGGGAAACTGTTACCAGAGGAGCCTTATGAATGGCACAGTACTGGTCTTAGTGCAGATGGTGCAATAAGCCTTGAGTCCCCAAGAAAATGGCGGCTCATCAGGGAGCAAACAGGACATGGTGCTCTATACGGAATGCGCATTGTTGTATACGGTGACTGCACCATCCCTTCTTTGGTAAGTAATATCTTTCTCACATTCACACAGTATAAAATGATGGAAAATGGTCTTACACAGTTGAATAGAACAATGGTCGCATCTCTGCCAATGTTCTTTGTGAATTCGTCTCGTAATACAAAACAACGTTGGTGTGATTTAGCAAAAAAAAGAGCCATAATACAGCTGAACACTAGAATGGATATATTAGAGACGTTGTTTCTTGGTTATTGACGCACTTTAATTTTTTTTGCTTACTCCCAAATCAGGATACGTTAAAGCGAGCTGTGAAAGCTGGGGATGGTACGATACTAGCAACCGCACCGCCTTACAAGCGTTTCTTGAATGAAAATACTGATTTCGCACTAATAAGCCCCGGGATGCCGCGTGATGACTTGTGGATCCAGGAGTTTATACGCCACGAGATCCCTTGTGTCCTCTCGGATTACATTGTGGAGTACGTTTGCAAACCTGGATACGCACTTGACAAGCACGTTCTCTACAACACAAACTCATGGGCAGAAAGGTCATTGAATAAGCTGCTTCTTAGTGCTGAAGAGAAAGTCGTGGCCTAGGAATAAGCTGCTTCTTAGTGATGAAGTTAGTGCTTAACGTAATTTAGAATTAGCATTCCATCTCATTACAACATAAACCTTGGGTTATCCCTTTACTAAAAGTTAATATTGTAGGTATGTAGTGTTGCTTAGGCTGGGAAGTATGAAAACCTTTGGAACACAAGGAGTATGTTTTTTTCTTTTCTTTCATATTTATTTAGAGAAAATAATCTAAAGCTTCATCTATCATCCAGGGCAGTGATAGTAATTTATTTTGACTGAAGCAGATTTAGTAGGCTAATCCTCCATATGATCAGTTCGTTGACTCATTTGTTTTTATTGCTCATTGTCATTGCTGTTTAACAAAGATATTATAAAAAAAATGTAAATAACAGACTCCATTCCAGTTCTTCCTTAATACAATCAAGCAGCAAGTTTACGATTCAAAGTTCTAATGAAAAAAAAACAAACAAACAAAAGAAGAAGATAGAAGCCAATTACTACAATTTGTCAGATCCAATATATTTTGTGCAATTGGCAGCTTCTCAGTGTTTGTGTTTAGAGAAACTTTACTTAATTACATAAAGATTAGAAGAAATCGTTTTTGTGAGACTGAGATAAGTAAATGAAAGGCTTTAGTCTCTGTTAAGTTGAGTCTCTTTCACATAGTCTCATGTCCAATGCTTTACAAGACTTGCTCTTACTAGAGACTTGAGAGTGAGAGACATCTTCCACTCTATTATCTTCTTCCATAGACTTAAAGCACATCCTCTCTTCACCGTCCATGTTGCTTGGCCCTGAACTTGAAGAAGCATGACCACATGGCTGTGTTCTCATTTGAACAGACCTGAGCAGAGCGGTTCTCCTCAAGTCACCCGAATGGCAGATATCGCTAGGCGATGATGGAAACCTTCCTTCTGTGTCTGATCCTCTTTGGCGAGACTGTGGAGTAGTAGTAGCAGTAGTTGTTGTTGCAGCATTGGTGCTAATGGATGTATGTGAGATTGTTGACGACGACGGGTTTGTTGAAGTAAGAGGTCTCTGGTATCGGTAAGGTGAAACCGGACTTGTTGGGCGGCTCTCGAGACTATTGCTTGTTGTTGTTGTTGTTGGGTCCTCGAAGAATCTCGCTTCGTCAGAGTCTTCTGACATGGGAGAGTATTGCAATGGCAAGTCATCCCTGTGGTACGAAGCTCATCAAGAACAATTATATATTACAACAATCTTTAATATAGAGTCATTTGAGTTACACAAACATGAATGATCTCAAGAAGAAGGTGAGGACATAACAAACCTGTGATAAAGAAAGCTCTCAGACCGAGCTGGAGACTCTAACATGTTGACGGGAAGTGAGTCTCCGACTGTTAGTCCGTTTAAACTGCAAGCCATTATCTACGAGGAAGATTGGTTGTTGGCCAAAAAAATCTCAAAAAAGAGACATTTTTAAAAAACAAACAAAACAGTTGCTTACTTCTTTAGTTCTTTTTGTGTTGGAATAACAAAAACACACACACACAAACAAGAACTCAAGTAACCAAAGTTGTTTGAAGCTGCTAAAATTTGAACTAACAAACAAACACAAAAAAACTAGAGAAGCCATTGCAATCGAAATCAGAATTAATAAACAAGCTGGAAATGGCAATTTCGGATATATGCAATAATAAGAAATTGGAAAATTTAAAGAAGCCAGACAGAGAGAGAGAGAGAGAAAAAAAAACCTCGCTAAGATAACGTTTCTGGGAACGGAGGTTATCGAGATACACTTCGTCTTCGGGATCTCTGTTTCGTTTCCCGCTCGGCGAAGAAGATGAAGCCGGCGACGAAACTGATATCTGCGCCGATCGCGATTCCGAACCCATTTTCAAACCCTAAACCCAAAAATATTTACACTGCATCAAGAATCTATATGTAAATTGGTTATGGATGCGATCAACATCAAGAATTTGATTTTAGAAATTCAAAGTAAAATAATCAGTGAGGAGCCTTCAAGTTCACAAACGAAACCAGTCGCCAGTGATTATGTTAATGCCCAATGGGCCATAATTCAGAAAAAAATAAATAAATGTCATTTGAAAAAAAGGTGGATCACATATGGAAAAAAGAAAAAATTATCTGTCTACTGATAGTGATGATTTATTATACCTTATCCTCTATCCAGTTATTCTCTCATATTAGTAGTAGTTTCCCATCTTTTTAATAAAATGTCTTATTCCCATATTATCCAATACGAACTATATGGTATGTAGTCTTTCCTCTTTCCAGTTAGTCGGTCAGTATTCAGATCCTTTAATCGTCAAATGCAGTTGGGGCAGTTTCTTTTCCGTACTTTCCTCCGTTTCTGACGGAGAGACTGATTCTTATATTCTCCTTTGTGGAGAAACCATCCGAATCAAATTCCTTCCTTTAGAAGAGATCGTTTCCATCATCCTCTTTTCTGGAAGAGAGAATCTTTTCACGATTTACCTCTTTATGAGCGGTAGTTTTTCTTTGGTGTGGAAGCCAAAAGAACACTTTCAATTCTTAACTATATTGTTATCTTGGGTAGTGGTCCTCTCAGGACCGAAAGATGCAACGGGTCTTGTTTCAACGAGATTTCGAGGTGTGAATTGTATTTCAAAGTCACATGTGATGAACGTTCAACTATCCGGTTTCTTCGTGAATGGTGTATCAACACATCCAAGCTTATTGGATTCGCTGTCAAGCTTCTATGAAGACCTATCTACTTTTATTTCTGTTGTGTTTATGCTTTGTTGTAATGTTCAAAGAGGATGGATAATTCCCTCTTGTGTGTGTAAGTTGGAAGTTTAAGCTAATGAAATTAAGGTTTGACCAAAAAAAAGAATGATCGACCAATGAGAATTAAGAATGTTCAGCCAATCATAAGTGTTGGTGGAAATTATCGACCAATAAGAAAGAAGGAGATTTCAGCCAATAAAAATATTTCAATGAAACTTGTTATCCACATATTGTCATTTTTTTCTTGACAATTCCATTAATGGAAAAGCCCAACAAAAAGTCCAATCTCCATATTGTTGGGGCAATAACTAAAATGAATAATTGAGATTCATGATAATTTCAACCAATCAAAAGTGTTAGTTTCAACCAATCAAAAGTGAAGTTTCAGCCAATTAAAATATTTCAGACCAAATTTTAAGCTAATCAAAAATCAGGTCGATTCTGGTCTTATTCTACTTTCCTAGGTTTGCTGAAATCAGAAAACTGGGTTTACATGCAACATCTCCTCTCTTCGAGAAATTCGAAGGGGTTTTTACTCTTCCATTCCAACGCCGAAGAATGAGGTAAGTTTTTCTTCATCCTCGGCGTCTGTATTTTCTTGTAAAGTCGCTAAATGATTATTTTTCCATTGAAACAATTGGGTTTTGGATATAATTTCGATTTACAAAATAGGGCAATTAAAAATGGGGATAGTTAATTTTTTTATTCACATTGGGTCGCATATGCTCTTTTAATTGACTGGTGAGGTTTAATCGTAAGGTTTAATAGTACATCCTAATAGGGGACGTCCATACTTGTTCAATTTATCTTTTTCAACTTGGATGCCATGAGGTGGTCCCGGCCATCAGTCCAGGAGAGAAGCAAGCTACCTTTCTTTGATCCACCTTTCCGGGCAGGAAAGAGAACGAAAAGAGGCCGCTGATGGTGTTTGTGGTAGGTTCGTGAATCTTGCGCGGCAGAGCTAACTCCTCAATTGTGTTCATTTTTTTCTGGCAGCCCCCCTTGATTCATCATACTGGAGCGATCTGAGAAGAACGATGATATTTAGTTTATACACCAAATTCACCGATTCAGGATAACTAGGGGACAATTTGGTTATAGTAGGAGTTTTCGTATAACTCAGAACAATTGGTATTAATGAGTTAAGTATATATAATATATATATATATATATATTTTTTTTTTCAGAACACAATGATAACAAACATATTGTTTGATTATGGAGGACATTATTCATGTACCGATGATAAATGGATTTCAAGAGAAGGTTCCATGTATGGTATAATGTTTAAGACATCAGGCTTAGAGGAAATAAGCTATTCCGATTTAGTGGGTAGGATATGCAAGAAGGTTGGAATAAGAGAATCATCCACAAAGTTGAAACTAAGTTATATTCCGGTAGTAGTGCAAACAAAGAAACATTGGTATATTTTGGATGACGATGATCTCGGTATCTATCTGACATCGTTTGATAATGAGGGACACAGAAGTGTCTTGTATGTAGAGGTCATCAATGTAAATGGAGTGTCTGAGGTGGCCAAGCAAGTTTCACGTGTAAAGAGGGTAAGTTCTGTTGTTGTGAATGTCAAGGAGGTGAGTGCAGCTAATGATATATCGAGTGATGGCGTTTTTGTCGACAATGCTGAGTTTAATGATGGTGCTATTATTATTTACACAGAAAACGGTTCAATAGAACAACATATGTGCCAGTAATGGGGAATGACGAAGGTGTTAATCTATCTCGTGAGAATGAGGAAAACGGTGGAGATCCAGATGACATAAGTCAAACATGTCGAATGCTTGATATTGTTGATCCTCCTGACTTTGTAGAAGAACAACGTATTCAACGGGAATGAGAAGATGGTTTGAAACTAAGATTTGGTGCAGAGTTTAGCTGTAAGCAGGATCTAATAGATTTAGTTTACAGAGGTTCTCATAAACATTGTTTTGGCATCACTGTAAAGACTTATAAGAAACGATACTATGTGAAATGTGGTCAAGCTGAAACAGGATGTAACTAGTATATAAATGCCGCTAAGACAGTTCAGTCACATATTTTCACTGTTAGAGCATATAGGAAAATGCATTCTTGATCTCGGGCCTCTGTGTGTACTAACAGCAAGCAAAGGAAAGGCACACCTAGGTTAGTTGCAGGCGTTGTTAGTAAAACTTACTCAGGTCGATTAAAACCACCATCTCCAAGAGATATCATGGTTTTGGTTCAAACTAGAGGTCATGTGGAGGTATCATACTCTACGGCATGGAGAGGCAGACAGAAAGCTATAAGTTATGTTCGTGGTACTCCAGAAGAGAGTTTCGAGCATCTGCATTCGTATTTGTACATGATAGAGCAGTTTAATCCTGGTACGACATCAAGTGTTGAAGTGGATGAGTTAGGAAGATTCAAGTACCTATTCGTCGCTCTGGGTTCTACCATAGAAGGGTTTGCGGCAATGAGGAAAGTGATAATTGTTGATGCAACTTTTTTGAAGAATGGATTTGGTGGATGTCTTGTATTTGCAACAGTTCAGGATCCGAATCATCACCATTATCCCCTTTCTTTTGGGGTAGTTGATGGGGAAAAGAATGATAGTTGGAACTGGTTATTCACTTAACTTAAAACCCATATACCTGACAATTCTGAATTGGTGTTTGTTTCAGACAGGAATGTAAGCCTGATCAATGCAATAAGGGATGTGTACCCGCAAGCTAAGCATGGTTATGGCATTTATCATTTGGCCCAGAATGTGAAAATGAACACTCGGAGAGAGAAAGACTTAGTTGTAGGCAAGTTCATAGAAGTTGACTACAAGCAGAATACAAAGTTTTTAACCAATCAATAACACAAACATAACTAGTTCTAACGGTTATGTAGCCATTCCTAGCTAGTAATCAGTTACAGAAGTAGTAAATTCTTCGCACATTGGTAATGCATGTAAAGGAAGCAGAGTTCACAACACTTGTTGTAGTGCTGGAATCGACATGCAGGGAAATCGGTCAGGACTGCTGGCAGATATTGGAAACCATCATTCACCATTATCAACATAATGTTCATTGCTTGATCCCCCTGTTCTTCCATGTACATCATCCGTGATTTACAACCATCAATACGGTCTAGGATCTCCTGGCCTCTTGGATATAAACCATATGCGGTGGCGCAGATTGCCATCATGACTGTCGCCGCATCAATTTCCGCCTTAGAGGCACAGTTAAAAAAAGGCACCGAATTATCGATCATGCCACAAAGGTACAAGGCGTATGGATTACCATAATTGATCGCCGACTCAAAGAAATCTAGGGAGCAAACAATTAAACGGGGGTGCTTAACGAATTCAGACAGGTTCAACACCTTGATGAGTTATGGATCTTTCAACATCTGGCTTAGAACCTTCGACGTACAACCAAATGAAACAGCATCAGCAGCAGACTATCTCCCTACCCTTAAGAATATATCAATCAACACATCTCGTAGCTGGAAAAGCACGTTGTTTGGTTTTGAAATTTGAATAGATAGAGGAGAGAGATATCTTCAAATATGGATTTGAATATGGATTTGAAATTTGAAATGTGGTGAAATAACGGAACCTATTATAAATTTGAAATGGATAAAAATATAAAAATATAAAAAATCAGAAGCATTGTCTGAAAGGAGAAAAACGTTACAACTATATTCTCACAATAATTAACAATTTAAATTTGTAATAGTATGAATAACTTGGTACAACTATGTTCAACTATTTTCAGCTCTTGGTTTTGGGTTTGCTTGTTCTCTCGTGCTAAAAATAAAGAAAACTCTATGTGTCCACTGCTTTTCTAACAATTATGGGAAATGAGTGAGAATGTTCTGTTTCATTTCATCGGAAAATGAGCTTCTGTGAGAAATAGACACGTATCAGTTACAATCAGTTACTTTTTACTTTATCAGATAAAGGGTTGTGGGCCAGACAGAGTAAATGAAGTAGATGACTATACCTTCATCAGACATGACCTCTTTGAGACATTCTCAGTTAATATATTATTAAAATATATGAATACATTCTGTTTTGATTCTATGTTTCGGTATTTATTGGTTCGGTAAACCAATTTAAAATTACAATAACCATGAAATCGATTTCATATACACCAAATTATATGAAATCGATTACATTCTCGTAGTTTGTATGCATAGTTATGTTATGATTAACATTTAAACTAGCCAAAATATGCAATTTATAAATCTTTGAATTTTGAAACAAGTTTTCTCATAATACACATCATAGTTCTATGAAGAATTCACAATGAGTAAACATATAAGGCA